AGGCAGCACCAGTCATGACTCTAGCCATTTAATTCAACTGCCAAACAATACCTACAAAAGAGCACCTGATTAGTTCATTTATAGTAAGATTTCTCTGGTCCAAAATATTTTCCTGCAACTGCTGTACAGCATGATGCTAAATCAGAAGAAACAGACAAAAAATCCTCACCTTTTACAATATACTTAACTGCAAAAAAACAACAAATCCTCTAATTTAACTGTAGCATTCCACAGGCAGAACTTTTTAAAATTTCAGTAATTGAAGCCACTAGAACTTTCAAAATGAAAATTACAGACTATTTTTTATTTATGCCAAGATAAAGACACAATTAAGGAAGAACAGCCGTTCAAGACAGAGCTCAGAGGGCCTACTCTCTTACCAGTCTGGATAAACAAACAGTGGCTTTTTACGGCCAATAATCATTTGATTGTTCTTACTTTTATAAGTGATTTCTTTCCTTAATGACTGTTTAAGATAAAAGATCTCACTATCATCAAATTCTCAAATAAAAATTCACCTAAGTGTGTTCCCTTTATGTATTTGCACTGTTTCAACTAAGCCCCATTAAGGCGTTGTAAGAGAGTAAGGCAGAGAATTAGATCAGCATGAACACAGACTGACCACCACACCCAGGCCGAGCTGCATCATCATTTGATACTTCATCAGAGAACAAAATGAAGCGAGCCAGGAAAAGGTTTGATTCAGAGCCCAGAGATACTTAACACATTTATTCTGTGCCTTCAATAACCTTGGCCCACAGACCTTCCACAACCAACCCCTCCCCCTCAAAAATGCCAAGATAATAGGAAAAATCAAATGGTAAACTTTGCCCAGTTTCTCAAATCTGTCCTTTCTAAGAATCACCTGGGTGCTTGTGAAAACAAAGCTCCCAAGCTCCCTCTCCTGGAGAGTCTATTCAGGATATCTGAGCTGAAGCCCAGGATTCTATTTTTACCAAGTGACACAGGCAAGTATGACGAACACGTAAGTGCGGCTCTGTGGGTGCTGGCCTTCCCCAGCCACTGTGTCCTACTATGAGCCATCGAGTGGGAGAAGGCCCCAAGGGTCAGCTTCAGCCTGTCCTCAGGAGGTTGGAAAGGCCCGGAGTTGCTTCTCACTGGAGCATCCCATCCTCCTCAGAGGCCACCTGGAGCCGGGGGTCTCAGTATTCTCCAGTGTTGTAGGATCACACCAAAGCACTCCAGAGGCGGGCTCTCTCACAGGGCGGTCTCGGAACCAGGGCTGTCCATACTCTCAAAGGCTGGGGCTCCTGGCTTGGACCACATTTGGCTCTGACTATAGGTCAAAAGGCTGGTATTACTGGCAGAACTGGGGCACAGGCAATGGGCAGTGGTGTGGGAGTGCTCCTAAACCCCCAGCTTTCATGTTTGCCCTCAATGCATGCATCTTTAAGATGCCCAGAACACAAGGCACCTTGACACTTTCTCACAGCCACTTGCTGGCAGCCAAGCCAAGTCCTGCAATAAACTAAATAACTCTTTTATTCCTAGGAAATAAAGAGCCATCATTCTCAGTCACGTGTGATACCAAGAAAAAATTCACGCAAAACAGTAATTAACACCAACCAGTGAGCATTTACTGTGGGCTAAAATTTGTGCTAAGCACTTCACATGCTTTGACTCATATTTCATTCATGCCTATTACTGTTTATTAGCAAGAGCCCAGTAGCACCAAGGATGTGAGGCCACCTCAGTGAACCAAACAGAAACAAATCCCAGACCACATGGCCCTCAGGGTCTAGGAAGGCAGGTAATAAATGGTATAGGTAAGTAAACTGTAGAGCAGACCAGGAGTAAGTACTAAGGTTCAATAAATGTTTTAAAGGGGACAGAGATCAGAGGAAGGGGTGTGTGGAGGAAAGAGTGGTTTACAATTTTAAATATGGTGCTCACGGCATCACTAGGGTGAGATTCAAGCAAAGCCTCGAAGGACAGCAGGAGTGGGCCATCTGGACCCTGGGCAGAGCTCCAGCAGAGCAAGGCCAGGGCAAGGTCCCTACGTGAGGAGTGTGCTGGGTGCCCAGGAGACAGCAAGGAAGTCTGGGGTCTGGACAGTGACCAAGAGAGCGAAGTGCCGAGGCTGGAGGCCACGCTGGAGGGCCTGGGAACCACTGAGGGAATTCCACCTTTTCTTCTGAAAGAAGTGAGAAGAAAGTGGGGAGTTCTGAGTAAAATGACACGTTCCAATTTATGCTCTTCAAGATTACACTGGCTGTAGGGTTAAGAACAGATCTCAAGGAGATTAGGAACCTTTTGCCAGAACCCAGGTGAGAGAAGGCGGCTTCGACCAGCAGGGCAGCAGCAGAAGGAAGAGGAACGCCCTGAGTCTAGGTGCGCTTTAAAGGCAGGGCCACAGAGTCCCCTGAGAACGGGACAGGTCTCGGACACAGAGCCTAAGATAAAGAAGGTGATTAAGGCTGACTCCGAGGTTTTGGAGGCTGACACTGCCATTAACTAAGATGGAGAAGACGGATTACAGGTAGCACGAGTTTGGGAATGAGGTGATCCTGTCCTAGATCGCTCAGTCTGAGAGTGTCAGTATCAGAGTGGAGATGTTAGTGGGCAACTGGATACATGAGTCCAGACTCCAGAAGAGAGGAACAGGTGGGGACAACAGTTTGACAAATAGCAGTGAAAGGCATGAGACAGGACCCAGTAACAGAGTGAGCACCGACAGAGAAGGAGAGCGGCCGGGGACTGAGCTCTGGGGCACACCACCATCTGGTGGCACCCCTCAGGCCAGGGAGCAGGAATGGGCAATGGGGATGGAGGAGGGGCCAGGGTAAAGACACAGGAATGTGGTGTCCAAATGTGGATTGTGGAAACCAAAAAGAACGTCATGGAAGACGTAGGGCTCCACAGGGCCAAATGCCGCCACCACTTCACATCAGAGACCTGAGAACTACCTGGTTTAGGGCACAGTTCACTGACAACCTCAACTAAGTGGCTTTGGGGGATCAGTGAGGGCGAAAGCCTGACTGCAGGGTTTCAGAGAGCCTGGGAAGAGGGGGATTTAAGAGTCCTGGGAGGTAGGTATTCATGATTACTCCAAATTTACAGATGAGGAAACAGCATCAAAGAGGTCAGTCAACAGCCAGGACCCGTGAAGCCAATGATGTACGCACCACACACATCCACAGTCCGAGCTGGATCCATCTGGGAGGTGCGGGTGGGAACATGGTAAACATGTGGAGAGAACCATTTGCAACAACATGGATGGAGCCAGAGGGTATTATGCTCAGTGCAATAAGCCAGGTGGAGAAAGACAAGTACCAAATGATTTCACTCATCTGTGGAGTATAAGAACAAAGGAAAACTGAAGGAACAAAACAGCAGCGGACTCACAGAACCCAAGAATGGACTAACAGTTACCAAAGGGAAAGGGACTGGGGAGGATGGGTGGGAAGGGAGGGATAAGGGGGGTGAAAAAGAAAGGGGGTATTATGATTAGCATGTGTAATTG